ACCCGTAGACAGAGTTGACTGTCAGCTGCCGCGGATGGCAGATCTTTATGCGGGGCCCAACGTACCCCTGTCAAAAGCGTTCATCTTCTGTGGTTGGGAGACTATCTCAGTGGACTGGATGCTTGACCGGGGTCACGACCTATCCAACAGCCTGAGGCAGCAATCACTGCATGATCAGTTACAATCGGTTTGTTTCATTGCAGCCGCCCTGGATTGTTCTACAAAGAGCCGGGCCAGAGAGATCCCCCGAGATTTTGGAGATGGTAGGCCACCACCCCGACCGTTGCGATCGGAACAACACCCGCTGGGGCTTCCTGAGTTGACAGGGTCTCAGTACAGCAGGGTGGAGAAGGACAACGCAGCTGCCAGCTTTGTGCTCTCTGAGATTGACCAGTTGGTAGATCGGGGGGGTGGCTCTGTCCGGGAGAACCCATACAACAGCCTTCATTGGTGGACGCCGGATGAAGTTAGCATGTGGGATAGTGGTCGGTGGTCAGACCAGCGGTACTCAGCATGTTGCTTTGGAGGTGCCAGGGCGAAGTTGCAACGCCTTAGGCACAACATTGCAGAAATCGCACAATGGCCCAGGGCTGACTGCAACCACTTTCATGACCCACAGGAATGGGAGCCATGGATCCAAGACGGCCAACGGCATTACCCATCCGCTGAGGAGTCCGAGTACACAGCAGAACTTTGCTTTGCGATCGCCACAGCGGCTTCATGGTGGGCGGTGCGTGTTGGTCATGCCAAATTGTATGTGCCGCGTTCGCCATCCCCTAGCTGTACCGGTCACAGGGATCATTGGCTTGACTTGGACCCCAGGTCTCTCCGAGAATGGGCTATGACTCCTTTGGCAATCAGTCTGGGGTTGAGGCCGGTGGACACGGCGGAAGCGGCTCGTGTGCCAACCCGGGCTTGTGTCGAGGAGGTGCTGCAGCAGGGCGAGTTGCCCCTGGGGCACGTCTATGTGGGTATGGGAAACCACGCTCACCGGCTCCAGACAACGAAGTGGAAATCCCCTTGGCAAGTTGGGGTGAATTGCACACCACAAGATTGGCTTCCCCTCTTTGTTCAGTATGTCAGAGAGACGTTATGGCAGGAGCTGGACGAGCTGGAAGGCAAGGTTTTGGTGTGTGATTGCCCAGCAGCACAGACCTGCGAGGCTGACCTCTTGGCAGGGCTTGTGTTTGACCGGCTCAGCTTACATCGCCATCCAGTAGCTCCCCAAGTTGTCCAAGGATCGAATGGCAGGAGCCACACGGCAGTGACACGCAGTGTCCTCCTGTCGAGCATTGCCAAAGCGACGGGCACCCCTTTTGGGCCTTTCTACATCCTGCAGGAGTCACTGGCGCTGGCGTTCAAGAAGCTCTACCCAGGTGACTGGTTGGATGGGCTTGCCATCCCATTCGTCGAGGATTTGGTGAACCAGCACCCGCTTGACCTGTATACTCGTTGGAGGCACCAACAGGGGCTTGACATGGAAGGCAGCTGGAACCCAGTTTTGGCAGCTCCTTCCGTGCGGCAGAAGATGCGGACAGCTGAGGGCCAGCAGGTGGGGGCCATCAACCACAGGGCTGCGCTGGCACCCCTCTTGCCGTTCCATCTTCACCCGGACCAGCATTTTGAGCAAGCTTTGCAACTGAGTGTACAACCTTTGCCTACAGAAGGGCTTCCGGTGTTGGATGATGACCTTCGCTTTGCGGCTTCCTTCTCAAGCATGCCAGGAGTCGACCTGAGCAAGCTGAGAAAACGTGCTATGGGCCTTTTAGCCGAGATGAAGAGGCGCTGGAGCAAGGTCACGGAACATTTGAGGACCAAACAGACTGAGGCAATTCGGACGGCCACTGCACAAAGAGACATTGGTTTCACAGCCATCCTGTTGCTTTTAGCCAACTGGGGCGATGTGACGCTGCCGGCTGGCCTTTGCATGGGGCTCCCAGCAGTGGGATACGCACCCCCCTATGGCATATTCCCAGAGCAGGAGGCATCCCGCTTGACACGGGAGGATGTCCTTCGTGATTGGAGGACCCACAACCGGTGGATCCTGACTCGTTTGAGGCCTGGCAACGATGATGAATTCATGTTACAACAGAGCCTCAAGGATGCTGAGAAAGGCTTCTGCAGCTTGCCAATGGATGCAGAGGAACTGCACAGTTTGCTGGGTGCAGAGCCTTATCGTTTGATTCCTCGATGTGTGATCACACAATCCTCGGGGAAGCAATGGGTGATTGACGACGCCTATGTAGGCCTACAGTCTGAGCGTTCCAGCGACGCCAACAAGCTCACCCTTTGTTCAGCCCTTCGGCCAGCTCAGCATCTACAGTATGCCTGCGCATATGGAGCCCTTCCCATCTGGGACACAGAAGAATGGGAATCGGGCGGTGAGGACTGGCCAGATGCTTACAGATTTTGCCCCATGAGCAAGGATGAGGCTTTATGTTGCATTGTGGCATTTTTCCACCATGAATGGCAGAAGCCTGCCTTTATGATTTACACTGGTTTGCTTTTTGGTCTCCCCTTGGCAGTCACGTCTTTCAATCGCTACAGTAGGCTGGTGGAAGCATTGGCGCGTCGATTCACTTTCTGTTTGACCAGCTTGTATTTCGATGATGCTCATGTGACTGATAGGAAGTCTTGCAAAGGATCCGGTCAACGAGCAATGCAGTTTCTCAACAATCTTTTGGGCACACCCTTCTCAGCAGAGAAGTGCCAGAGGATGCAGCAATCAGGCACTTTCTTGGGGCTCGATCATGACTTCAGTCAGATTCACACCCAAGGCACCATCCAGTTTTGGGCCCGTGAACGCATCGAACAGAAGCTCCTTCATCTCATGAAGCACGCTGAGGATTCCAGCCGGCTTCAACCAGGAGTTGCAGCCAAGATCTATGGCGTGGCCAACTTCTTCGAATTGGGAGTATGGGGGCGTATTGGGTGCGGAGGTTTAGCCCCAATCAAGCGCCGACAACAGGAGCGTACCTCAGAGTTAACTGAGGAGCTGCGTCGATGCTTTGACTTGTTGCGCGCTGTCATTGCTACCAAACCCTCCAGGACAATCGAGATTTGGCCACATGCAGGGCCACGTTTTCTGGCGGCCTCAGACGCAGCCTTGGAAATCCCAGGCCAAGGGACAGGCGGCTTCTTGGTCGTCTGGCATGATGGCTGCATCCAGCGGCGGGAGGCCTTTGTTTCGATCATCCCCCCAGTGGTGTACAACCTCTGGGAGCCAGGAGACACCAAGATTGCCCAACTGGAGTTGTTGCAGGTCCTCTATGCGCTCTTCACCCGTCCATCGACGTTTCGTGGCCGTAGAGGACTTTGGTTCATTGACAATACAGCGGCGCTGATGGCTCTGATTCGAGGACGTTCAGATAATGCAGATTTAGAACATATGACTCGTCTGATTCATATCACTCTTTTTGCACTCCAAGCCTGGTTCTTTTGGGAGTGGATCCCTAGCAAGGCCAACTGGTCCGACGAGATCAGTCGTGTGGGCCTCCAGGCTACATGGCACAAGCGCCATGGGTTCACCACGCATTTCGCAGTTTTCCCCTTCGAGCTGTGGTCTCTACCACTTCCTGCGTTTCTTCAGGTCGTGGAATTTCTCTAAGTGCTTTGGGAGGAATGAAGTGCATTGGGAAGGATTCACCCTGTGTAGCCTCCTGGGTTGACAGGAGTGCGGAACAGGGAGTATGGATCTAACCAGTGCTGCTGTGTAGGAGGATACCTACACAGCTACCCAAAGCATTAATCCTGCTGGAGGCAGGTTGAGACCATACGAAGCGACAGGAAATAGGAAAAAAAAGGATATGCGAGCGTGAACCTGGTGTGAACGAGTGTGTTTAACATCTATGCTTTACACCTCACATCTAATGTATGTATGCATCGTGTTTGGCAGGCACTGGGTGTGCATTATCATTAGGGTGAGTGTGTAAGTTGATGAATCCATTTTGGCTCAAGTCTGAGCCAAACTGGCTTCATCATTCTTCTTTTCCCTCCCTTCCCTCCCTATGAGATAGGACTCCTGTGGAGTATCCTCTCTTGTAGGGGATCACATCATTGCGGATGTTGATCTCTACGTGCCGTTGCACGACTGAGCACTAGGTGGGAAGGATTCACCCTGTGTAGCCTCCTGGGTTGACAGGAGAGCGGAACAGGGAGTATGGATCTAACCAGTGCTGCTGTGTAGGAGGATACCTACACAGCTACCCAAAGCATTAATCCTGCTGGAGGCAGGTTGAGACCATACGAAGCGACAGGAAATAGGAGAAAAGGATATGCGAGCGTGAACCTGGTGTGAACGAGTGTGTTTAACATCTATGCTTTACACCTCACATCTAATGTATATAGATCGATAGATAGATAGATAGAAACATAGAAGATAGATAGGTAGGTAGGTAGATAGTCAGAGAAAGAGAGCGAAAGAGAAGAGACCTCAAGCACCTTTCGGTCCATCAGTGGATTCGCTCTGCCATCCCTGATTCACAACAACCAGCCTCTCCTATAGGTTTCCTATTTTTGAAACTTCCGCCACCGCCTTGTGCGGTACTACTGGTAAAAAACTGAAACAAACAAAAACAAATGAGCAAAATAATTTGTGCTTGTTTAAATGTGTAGCGTCTATTTTTAAATGGTTTTCAGATTGATGGAATCAATTCGCGACGATCCAAACACTTAAGAGTGGCGCCTTTTTGTTTAAAAATTCATACCACGATTTTTTTTGAGCAGCCGGCGGCGTTTCTGCCTGCAAAAAAAGTAAAGCAACATTACATTGAAAAGATCAGTAAAAAATGAACAAAACAACACGAAATCGGGGCCGTGTCTCGAAATTATATAATTGCGCAACCATTTTTCAGCCAAGGATCCCCGCACATTTGATTTGATGCATTTTGCATACTGCATGCACCTTATTTCCGGGGACAGACCTTAAATACAACCCGCCACCTTATTTACGAAAGTTAACAGTGTGCGTCTGTGCCTGTTGCGTTCTCATCCCATGGGAGGACAAAGGAAACAGTTATGCGTGATTATGTGAGACACTTAGAGTTTCTGTCTTATGCGTAAATTATGTGTATTTAAGTTGTGCAACAATGTGTATTATGTTTCGTGTTTTTGGTGTTTCTGGTGTTTGCGTTCGTGTGTGCAGTTGTCAGCTGAGGTCGACATCAGCATTCCCATTCCAAGCCCGCGAGGGATCATCTCATGTACACTAAAAGATGCTCAGAGCATGACTGTTCGAGATCTTGAGCATGAAATTGCTGCGCTGGGACCTCAGAAGTTTGAGCATGGCAAAAGACGATGTAACCAAATGTGAAACTTTCACACAATGTGAAATAAATAAATAAATCTTTCCCAGATCCGTCCACTTCTGGAGTTGGGTGGGCAGCGCAGATGCCTTGTCAACCCATCCATGAACTGATACTGAGTGGGTACTAGATGGATGGACGATGGAAAGATGCACTGATGGATCGAGGGACTGACGGACTGACGGACCAACCAACCTACTGGTCAACTGGCCGGTTGACTGACTGATGCATTCGCCGATATTACATACATATTATTTTCACACACATATATATATATACGCGTATATACATGCATGATGAGTGAGCGAGTATAGCGAGTGATTGATTTGGTGCACAGGAATTATGTACATACTTCATTACTCATCCAGTGCCAGTAAAGATGCTCAGCACTTGGGAGGATTTTCCTTTTTCCTCCTTCGCTGGTTGTGGCCTAGCCACACCAGACCTGACCTTTCAAAGAATCAATCTTCAACTGTAGCCGCACTTTGCTGGGGACTTGAAAAATGTGATTTGATTGGAATATACTTTCTCGAAAATTTGATGGGGGACCATAGCCATAGCAGGACTTAAGGTAGGGGAAAAGCACATTGTTGTGGTGTTAATCGTGGGGATGTAGCCGGCCTAGAACATGAGGCAATTCAAACCACGGTGGACAATCCACAACAATCCATAACAATCCTGTGGTCAAAAATAGTCCGTAGGCACCCTTTGCAAGGCTCTCGGATCGCGCTGGCAGAGATGAACTTTCCGTCTCAGACCTGAGCCACTCCACGTTTGGCATTGTGGACACTGGTGTGGCTGGCAGCATGCTGGGCACTGGAATCATGTGCGGTTCTTGGATTCAAACATTGTGCTGCAATGAGCATTTTCTTTCAATTGGACTGAAAGTTTGACTGTTTACAAGCTGTGCAGAAACTATCCTCAAAGTGCTTCGATGGGTTGGAATCTCAGATTACAACACAGTGAATACTTTATACGTTGCTACTTGAAGTGCTGCTTTCATTCTGCAAGGTACAAATGCAGTGAAGCGCCGGGTGGCAGTAGTGAATGGAAAAGTGGAAGCCCGACCAATTATGCCCGCCAGTTGCTGTAGTTGCACAAGACAAGCATTCTTACAGCCTTACAGCCTAGTAGCTATCAAATGCTATACATCTTGTTTTTTTTTGGTTTCTGAAAGTTCTCTGCTGGAAGACCATCAGGTACACAGCCTTGAACTACGATCACCGCCTCATAGATGGTCGTGAAGCCGTGACCTTCCTGTGTTCGGTGCGTGACAAATTGGAGGACCACAAGATGCCCCGTATTTTGTGACAGAGTCTATGCCATTTTGCCTACGACACACACACAATGTAATATTTATGTATATTTACAAATTATTTAGATGTATCTACTTATTTACTTATTTTAGTTCCTCCTCTTAGTCCTTGGCTTTATTTTGTATGCCCTGAGTACGGTTTGTAGGGGCACGGAAATCTGCTCCCAGCGCCAAAGGAAAGTAGAGCTCGCAAAAAGGATATGCTTCCATCGTTACAACTATAACATGCTATAGTTCCTATAGTACAGAGTACAGACGATATCGAGCATGAATCATCAAGCATAACGACTTGTATCAACTTGCTGGATGGTCCTCATGTATCTGCGAACAGGTGAAAACCCTGAAGACGTGGGCTCTATGACATGTCCACATGTAAATGGATCTGCTGACAGGAATCACTTGTGGTCTTATCGCCATACAGTCTACGTTCAGTGCAACATGTGATAACATGTTTCATGTGAATACACTTGTCGCAAGTAGCAAACGACACAGTACAATAGATGGGTAGAAAACAGGCGAGGAAGCACAAGGGCTGCAAGGAACGGAGAGTCTGTCGTCACTGAAAACCTTTGCAAACCTTTGCAAACAACTGTAAAGATTGTAAAGTGAAAGCAACCATGTCTTGTCAGATTATACTGTAATATTATACTGTATATAAAACAGCTTTCAAACTGCACCACGCTGTTTCCGAACAGCAAGATAGAGAACGCACATTTCACTTCAATTAAAGTCTTTTAAATTTGTCATGGATGTGTGCAGTTGAGAATCATATATTCTCAGTGTTTTTTTTCAAAGTTTGTTTGCCTGACAGGATCCGTCACGGATGCTGCTGGACCTGTGATCTGATTTGCAGCCGGGGTATACAAATGTATACGGCAAACAGTCAATGAGTGCAACGTTTGGGACACGGAAGTAGTGTGATGAACGTTATAAAGATGATGTTGAAGCACCTTGATGAATATTCTCATAGAGTCTATAGTATATAGTGTTGTTGATGGTCTACACATGGTCAACCAATGGCAACGGCAAAAAAGTCCACGTGTGCCAGTCGACAAAAGACGTCAAATTTGCGAGAAGAGCTGCATCGTTTCAAAAGAGCGGCTTCCGCTTTTGCATCCACTGCATCCACTTCATCCCATGACGCCATGCCACTGTTTTCTTCCTTCTTTTATGTTCTTTTAGTTCCCCAAACAGTGTGGCCACACTGAGGGGTTCTTACGGTAACCGTTAAGGCCCGGTGTTCAATCGAGGTGGTATCGGAAGCGTCCGGCATTTTCCCTGTAAATTTCTGCACAAAATGCCTCTTGTGACATGTCCATGTGCATTTCGACTGCGCAGGCTCGCACAAAATGCTTGTCGCGGGATACGCGTACGGCATTTTCCCTGTTGTAGCTTTATCAGCGGTTCAGCACCCACGAAGTTGCTGCAAAAGGTTCAGTCAGGCAAGCGCACGAAGTCAGCCTGTTTTCGAAGCCATCGCTCTTGGTTGTTTACCCACCCACCTGGCAAAGGGCATTTGACCCAAAGGTGGTGGTCACGGACATATACCTGGCAGGCAAGTTGGTGCATGACAGGTGGTTTCAGTATATACCTGGCAGGCAAGTTGGTGCATGACAGGTGGTTTCAGTTGCAAACTGCCCGGAGGGCAAGTTGGTAAACTGACACGGGCAGTTGTTAAAAAAGAGCCTCATGTGTCAGGTGAAAAGAAAAATTGCTCTCTCACAGAATCTTCGGCATCATCGTCCAGTGAAAGCTCGGTCTGTCACCATGTTTCGGTCTCTCGCACAGTACTCACAATGGTCGTGCTCTTGCACCATGTGAGCTCGGTTTAGCTCGATGATGGGGCACTCAGGGTCGATGTGCCACAGTGAGCCGTCCAGTGTCGGCTGCACAAGGACTGTGTCGCCAAGCGGGCACGGAGCTTGGTGGTTGGCTATCAGGCTTCGAAGTCTATCGGTTCTTGCTTGTAGAAACCGAATTGCTTCGATTTGAGAGGCCAGCATAATCGCCATCACGTTGGCGTTGCGTCTTGTTTCTTCCAGTTCATTCGCGATCTCGTTGCGGCGGCCAGCCACATCATAGCATTGACACCGAAGTCGGCGAATCAAACCCGCCTGTTCTGCACCTTCTCGTTGGAGTTGGTCCACGTGGGCATAGGCAAGGTCCATTGCCTGTTGCAGGCGCAGTCGCTCGTATCGAGCACCAAGCCAAAGTCCAAGGAGGAGGCAAAGGAGCATCATCGCCAAAATGGCGAAAATCCAAATTCCGCTCTGTCCATGTTCATGGTCCGGAGCTGCATGCATTGCAGAGGTCGTAGGCAACCAGGTCAGCGCCGCGATGACATACTTTATCACCTTGGCATTCTTTGGGGTTGCTACGTAGGCCTCGACAGGCTCATAGGGCTCGACATGAGTGTCGTCATACACAGGTTCATAGGTCTCTTCATTCATGTCTTCATCCTCCATCGTGTAGAGCTCGGCAGGGTCCTCAGGGATCTGCAGCTCATAGTTTCCATCATCCATGCGTTCATGTTGTGGTTGTGTTGTAGGTGAAGGTGAGGTGAGAGGTTGAGAGTGAGGTTGATGTTGATTGGATTCCTTCCCTTTCGCAAACTCATTGCGGCTTGCTTCTCTTTCTGCAGCATCTTTGCGTTTCGCGCTAGTGTAGTATGGGTCCCACACCAGCTTCTGTCGATGATGTCGAAGTCGGTCAGCCAGCAAAGTTCTGGTAGAACTCTTTGTCAAACCATCAGCGAACTGCTTTTCGCTGCTCATCCATTTCAAAACACCACCCAAAGCTTGTAGTTGTTCTTTTCCAACTCGTATCTCCAGAGACGTCCTTTTGTCAACGGACGAAGAGCCAGTCAAACCTTCTTTGTTGTAGCTGTCATAGAGGGCTTTGGCATCGGTAATCATGACGGGCTCAAGGTCAGATCGTTGGTCCAGGCATTCTTTCAGCTTTGAAGGAGGGTTGAAGAGGCAAGTCCAATATCGGCATATGAACTCTACCACATCCGCTGTTTGGCCAAAAGCTTGAGCTTCGGCACTTAGACTTGACCTTGCCACTCTGGGGAGTTTGAAGCTGCGCCACTCTATCAAGTGGTAGGATGTCTCCTTCTCAAAGATCTTCTTGGGCACGACGAAGATCAGGTAGCCACCCTGAGACGTGGCATCTTCTCGGACTCCATGGGCAGCATCAAACATTGCACAGAGCCTTAAGTCGGCAAGTGAGTCAATGTCCAGGGGTTCATAGTTGAGCTTGACATCGCTATTTTGTTTTGCAAAGCGCAGCAGTTGGTTGGCTTCAATCACCGCACGTAGTTTTCCCGTCTTCTGCTGACCACTAATAAGGCTTGCAGAACACTGTAAGTGCGGTGCAGTCTGCACGGCAGGCCATTGCAGTGAGCCAAGAAGAGCTCGAAGTTGTGACCTGTCATGGTCGTTCATCTCATCTTCGGCCGTACGGCCTTTGTGTATGGTCACGGGCTTGACCTTCTGGATGTAGTCATGTTGATTGACCTTCCAGCAGTGGTCATGCCTTTCAAGCTTCACACCACAGTACTCCAGGGTCTTCTCATCAGTCTCGAAGGTCCTGAAGTCAAAGGCTTTCTTCAAGGCAGTCTCGGCATCCACATAGATTTTGGAGTTTGGATCTCCGGCAGCAAGCATATCATCAACGTGAAGACACAGCATCCCCACAAGCGTTGGGCTTGACTCCTTCTTGAAGTTGATGAGGCAAAAACAGCAAGGGTCAAGCGCATGTTGTTGCCATCCAAGGCTTTTCAGTCGGCGGACGGCTTCCAAAAACCATCTCCTAGGAGCATCAAGTTGGCCATAAACTAGCTTTCGTAGAAACATTCTTGTGTTGGCGGTGGCTCCAAGGATCTGCAGGGCTTCGTTGGGAAGCTTCAGCCATAGTTTTCGTTCTTGTGGTAGGCCTTGAAGGAAGGCAGTGCTAACATCTGCAGACCATGCTCGCCATCGCAAGTTGGCGGAAACAGAGAGCAGCAGGGATCTTGAAAGTCGGCTGGTGGTTGGTGACGCTGTTTCCAAGTTGCCCATGAGCGCGTCCACATCGTTGAACCCACGCACCACAAGTCGTGCTTTTGCACGAGGGCTACCATCAGCATTGCGACTCCATTTCAAAAGAATCCTACTTGTAAGTGTTCTCTCTGGTGTGGCTTCTTCTGCAGTGCTAAACTCCCAAACGCCACATTCAAAGAAGCTGCGAAGTTCTTTCACTTTCGCTTGGTGGAACATTTCTCTTTCAGTTTGGTTCAGGTGCTTTTCTACCACTTCGCCTTTGTTCTTGGCCATCTTGGTGACATCTCGACGTTGTTGTCGTTGATGTTGGTTCTTGAGGCCTTGGGCGACCTTCTTCGCATTCTGAACGTGGTAACAGTGGTTGCTGTCGCTGGAAAACATGTTGAGTTCTTTTCTGGTTTCTGCATTGAGTTGAAAAACTGTGATACCCTTCCATGTAGTTGGCAATTGATGCTGCCGCAGGTCTTTGTCATGATGCTGAGGATTTCTGAAGTCATCCGTGAAGGTCTTGGCACTGCCGTCACGGTCAAAGTGAATGGTGACTCTGACGCTGTCAAGCTTATCAAGAGGAACTGGGATGTCTGAGATGCCAGCTGGGTCAAAGAGAGTGCGCCGTTGGTGACAGTGATGTCGAAGGAGGCATCCAGCTTTCAGCTCCCAGAAATCACGTACTCGGGCACCTTCACGCAGCTCAAAGTAGCCAGTCTCAGGCTTGAAGCACCAGTCACCAGGCAGTGAATCTTGTTCCATGTCCTCCACATTGAAAGCCATGTTGGCAGCAGCATCATCATCGCCACGTGCAGGACGATCATATGGTGTAGCTCCATGTGAGCTTTGAAGTTGTGACCTGCGGGGTCCAAAAGACAAAGTTTCTTGGCGGTCAACTCGTGCTCGTCGTTGCTCAAAAGTCTCTTGTTGTGGAACTTGAAATCTCTCAGCAGTTGCAGGGTCTAAAGCTTGACCAGCTGCTGGTGTTGGAGGAAAAACTTCTGCTGAGGGCTCCACTTCGTCGTTGTTGTTGATTGGCAACGTTGGAGGTAGAGGAGGTTCATCAGCCATTGGAGCTGGTGGTCCCATAAGTCCAGGGGACGGAGAAAGTCCATCATGTTGTCCCAAAAGTCCAGGGGACGAAGGTGATCCTTCTGGCAGTCCCATAAGTCCAGGGGACGGGTGATGACCATCATCTGGAGGCTGACCATCATCATGAGGGTTGTCGTCAGCAATTGATGGTTCGTAGTCATCATCACCTTCAGCTCCATCTTGAAGTTCAGCAAGTCGACGACGCTTGGCCTCAGGCACATAGTCATCGGCCTCGTGGTCGGAGATCATCTCTTCATCTTCATTGATGTCGTCAATGTGTTGACGATTCAAGCGGTTCAAGTCCAGGAACCTTGTCACGCCACGAGACTTGACTTGTCGTAGAACTTCTTTGGCTTCAAGAAGATTGTCCACCACGTTGTTGGAGATCTGTCGGAAATCAGGGCGGCAATGGTGAGGAGCACAACGCAGGAGTTGGGTCTTGTGGCAAATCCAGTAGGTTGAAGCATTGCCTTGCTCATCATCCTCAACCATGAGAACCTTGGCTGGTCCTCGCCATCTGATTTTGACAAGGTCTGCTTGTTGAGCATCACGCCAGTAAAAACATGTCTGACCAACAACAAGTCGTATGTTGGCGCCGGCATATCTTCTGAGAAGAGCACGGCGAAGTCGATGGTCAGTGTCAGCTTGTTGAAGGGCTGACTTGGCTGCATTGCGACGCATCAAAGCATCTTCAAAGGAGTGGCCTCCGGCTAAGTGCACAGGGGTGATCTGGTCAGAAGTCAAAAGTCCATTGACCTGTGGTTGATACCCCAAAAGCCATTGTGAAGGGCTGTAGCCGGAAACTGTGGGCAGAGCATTTTGTTGCGGCACTATGTAGGTCAGGGCAGACCTGATGCCATCAGCTCCATGAAGTTGTAGATCTTGCATGTAGACCTCAATGCTCTTTCGTAGAACTGCATGTCGCCGTTCCACAAGACTCAGTCGGGTGTGAGCTTCTCCAGGAGCAACATCATGATGGATCGAGTGCTCATCAGTCCACAAGGCCATTGGGTCTGAAAGCCATCCCCTGCCTTCATCGGTGACAAGGGTTTCAGGTGGCCCAAACCAGCTATCAAGTTGGAGGTTTTCTCATCAGGCACCAAGGTTGCAGTCTGGTACTTGGTGGCAGAGTCAACGCATGAAAGAACCGCAAACTTCTTGTCACCATGTTTGATCCAAAAGACATCAGCTTGAAGTCGTTGGTTAAAGTGGTCGCTTTTGGCCAAAGTAGATGGTGCAGTTTGATTGGGTTTCTTGTAGCGCTGACATGCTGAGCAAACATAGGAACCAGCAACTTGTAAAACATCAGGGCTTGCACCTCTGGAACTCAAAAATTCAACCAAAGATGCCGTTGAAGGGTGTCCAAGGTTTCTATGGAGCTTCTGCACAACTCGAAGGGCTGCAGACTTGCCTTCGACATGGAGTTCCACGAGCTTGCCAACGTGCTCGGTGATCTCTTGCACGGCATAGCCATGTTCCCAGTTGTGTGGGGCTTCAGGTGTTGCCATAGCTGCCGCAAGAGTTGATGCCATAGCGGGTTGGTAGTTTTCCATGTAGGTTGTGCGATGCACTTGAAATCCACGAAGTGAACCTTCAAGACGGCAATGTTGATGATCTCCAGGGCATTGTCGATTCATGGCTTGGGCCACGGCCAGCTTTGTCGTCAAAAGAGTTGTGTCCTTTCGGACTGGCAGCCATTGCTCGTTGTCGTTCTTGCACATAGCGCCATACTGGCATTGGCTGAACTTGGCACGGTGACCTGGCAAAGTTGACAATGCGCTGGTGCGCCATGACAAAGCAGGTGTTGGTTGTTCCACGTGTGCATGTCGGCCTTCGTTGACCTGCTTCAAGTAGATCCTTCTGCAAAAACGCAGATGAACTCTGTGATGCCAATCTCGTAGTTGTTGAAGTTGTTCTTGACGCTGCGGCGTCTTGGCATTGATATTCTGCATTGGAGACCAAGGTCCACAAGTGGGCGATAGAAACACTTCTTCAGGTTGGTGTTCATCCAGCAGCTTCATGAACTCGCGCTGGTGGGACTTGTAGGAGAAGTTCCAACCATTGTTGAGGCCGAAGTGCTGCGCATCCATGCCCAGGGAGGTGGCAATCTTGGTCATACGGCTCTCGCCACAGTAGACTTCCCACAGTTGCCTTGGTTGACGAAAGTCCATGTCGCGCAAGGTCTGTGAGATGTAGGCTTCTGCTGCATTGAGTTGGGTCAGCACTGAGGTGTCTAAGGACTTCAGCTGCTTGGTCTTGAGGACGTTGGAGCCTTCAGGAATGACTGCATCCTCAGTCACATAGATCTCTTCAGACTCCTTGAACTCGTCCAAGTTAAAGTCAGGGCCCTTCTCATCTTCAAGCACCAAGTCAAACTCAGGGTTGTTGATGTCGATGGAAGGGTCGTAGTCCTCAGTCAGAGGTAGCAGGTATTCCATGTGTCTGCCCAAAGTTGCAGCACGCCATTCACCATCATTGTATCGCAGTCGATCGTTGAGGAAGTCCACAGTCAGTCCAATTGCTTTGGCAATGGGGCGGCCAAGCAACATAGGTGTTTCCCCTCGAAGTACAAAGGCTTGGACCAGACCAAACTTGTTGTTGAGGTAGATCGGCAAGTGGACTGTCCAGTTGCTGACAGCCTTGCGATCGCCGCCAAAGTGAAAGGTGCGATCTGCCTTCTTGAACTTGATCTGGTTGATCGGAAATCCAAGCTTGCCCAGGTGCTCGAGGTATCGCATCAACGGTCCCATGCCCATGAGGAAGGACGAAGCTCCAGGGTCCATCATCGCACAGTCAGGTCGTTCAGCACCTGTGGAATCTTCAAACATCACCATGCCGCCTTCAAGTTGGAAGGCCATGCTCTCCACAGCTTGGCGTTTCGCAGCATTGCCAGCTGGTGCTGACTTTGGAGTTGCTTTGGAACCCTGAGTGCAGTTGGCCGTCTTATGGGACGACGATCCACAACGCAGACATGGGGCGTGAAGAGCAGCTTGAGCACGTCCTCGAGGATCAGGTGTTTTCATAGGTGGCCGTGGCGGCCTGAAGTTGTTCTTGCCCTTCCCCTTTGACTTACCTTTCTTGCCCTTGCCCTTGTTGGACTGCAGCGGCATCTGAGTTGGTGACACACCCGAAGAAGAGGCTGTAGGGTCCAAGGCGACCACAGGGAGAAATCCGCGGGCCATTCGCAAGTAGTTGAATCTCTTCCGGGCATCAAGGTATGAGGCATAGCAGGAGTCGTACTCGGCGACGTCGAACTCATAGTCCAGCGTAGGATCATGGTTGCCAGCATCATCTTCGTAGTACGCCGCATCATAGTCAAACTCATAGTCCTGCCAGTTGGTGTCGTCCTCGTCATACTCATAGTACCCATAGTCATCTTCATCCCAGTCGGCCCAGTCATCAGCGACGGACTCCACGGTCTCATCATCAGCGCAGTAACCACGACCTTTTCCAGAAGATCGCATAGACCATCGGGAGTTGGGAATTCCATGGCCACTCTTGTAGTCCTGACCCAAGATGGCAAACATCGACTCTTGGATCTTGGTTCTTTTCAGCGTGTTGGCCTGGGTCATCACCATCTGTTTCTGTTCTCGGCTGAGATTGACACGGTTGAGCAAATACCAACCTTGAACTTCAGGAGGAAGGACAACCTTGTGCTTCTCTAGGCGTCTCAGCTTTTCGTCATGCTCCGTCACAAACTGAAGCAAGGATTGGCCGGGACGTCGGCCTGCAGAGTCAAAGTAGGCCGTGAAGTCGGCTGGCATCTCAACTTTGTTGTCATACTGGAAGGCTGCATCGAGCTGTTTGAGGATATTCTCAAAGGCTTCAGGGTCGTTCACCTTGTTCAGGTCAAAGTCTTCGACGATCCTCCAAGCAGTGCCTTGGAGTGATCCTAACAGGTTCAACACAGCTTCTTGGGTTCTTTTCGAAAGCTCCATCTTCTTTGCGTAGATCACTATCCGCTTTCGCCATTCTCGGTACCCAGTGGTGGTACCATCAAAGGTCGGGATGAAACTGTCCCGAAGGCTTTGGGTATCCAGCTCAGTTCCAGTCTTTCCAGAACTCGAAGTTGTCATAGTGCTCGTTAAGAGCGTGCAGCTCGAGCAACAGGTAGAGGAAGTTCCCCTTGAAGGAATCCAGGGTGAGGTTGGAGGTTATGATGAAGGTTAGAGGTTGTAGTTGGAGTAGCGCAGTGGTTGGAACGCAAACAGGCGCTCCGCTACCAATGTAGCTTTATCAGCGGTTCAGCACCCACGAAGTTGCTGCAAAAGGTTCAGTCAGGCAAGCGCACGAAGTCAGCCTGTTTTCGAAGCCATCGCTCTTGGTTGTTTACCCACCCACCTGGCAAAGGGCATTTGACCCAAAGGTGGTGGTCACGGACATATACCTGGCAGGCAAGTTGGTGCATGACAGGTGGTTTCAGTATATACCTGGCAGGCAAGTTGGTGCATGACAGGTGGTTTCAGTTGCAAACTGCCCGGAGGGCAAGTTGGTAAACTGACACCTGTAAATTTCCGCGCAACATGCCTCTGGTGACATGTCCATGTGCATTTGGACTGCGCAGGCTCGCACAAGGTGTGCTTCCCGGTCTTGGGATCGGTTTTCCTCCTCAACATCATCCTCCTCAACATCATCACCTTCCTACCCCTCCTCCTCCTTCCTCCTCCTCAGCGTGCACATCACCATCTTCTTATCATCATCATCATCATCATCACCATCACCATCATCACCATCATCACCAGTATCACCATCATCACCATCATCACCATCATCACCATCATCATCATCGTCATCATCAAAATCATCATCATCATCATCATCACCATCATCACCATTATCATCATTATCATTACATATCATCACCATCATCATCATCATCACCATTCTCCTCCTCCTCCTCCTCTTCCTCCTCCTCATCACCATCACCATCACCATCACCATCACCATCACCATCACCATCACTATCACTATCACTATCACTATCACTATCACTATCATCATCATCATCATCATCACCAGCATCATCATCATCACCAACATCATCATCATCATCACCATCATCATCATCATGAATAATAATAATAATCATCATCATCATTATCATCATCATCGCCATAGCCATCATTATCAATCATCATCATCATCATCAACATCACCATCATCATCATCATCAACAGTAACATCATCATCAACATCCTTTTACTCCCCCCACACTGTTTGGGGCCTCTTGCCGGCATAATTTTTCATTTCCTTTGCTTTTGCTTGTAATAGCGTTTCAAGGCATTTCTAGGGAGCTCCAAAAGACTGAAATTCAATATCTACGCAACTTCACTGAAAGGGAACTTTGAGTTTCCGTCGAAGTGTTCACTGGCTGACGTGTGGCAGGGAGTGCGAAACTCTGCCAACCAGCAAATGATCCTCCGAACTTGCGAGGCTTTAGGAGTGCAGGAGCCATCATTGTTTACTCAGTTTATTTTTTTTCCGATATTTTTGCATGTTTGCTTTGCAATCTATTGCAACCAAAACCGGTGGAAATTGGAAGCATCTGATGGGTGAGGAAGTTTGGTTTGTTCCTCCACCTCCTGGAGTGAAGTACCGTGCCACAATGGTGCGTTCACGCCATGCGTCGAGAGGTGCCGAAAGGTGCAAATCTGAAATGCGGACTCGTTGATTTCCAATCATGTCTCCTCTATTTATGCTTGAAAAATGCGTTCCAAGATATAGATAGTTTTTCACCCTTGGCATGTCTTCAGGATTCTGCGCTCAGCCGATTGGGGCTTGCACTTGTGAAAAAAAAACTATGAATGAAAATCACATGTAATCAACATATCCGCAGGCTGTTTGAGTGTTTGCTTGCTTGTCAGCTTGCCTGCTTCATGGTTTGCTTGCTTGTGTGCGCTAGTATCCTTGAGTATCCTTGAGTATCCTTGAGTATCCTTGAGTATCCTTGAGTATCCTTGAGTGCTGTATGTCAAGCTCCGCATGACGACAAGCAACTTAGTCAACGGCCTTTCCTCTTGTGCAGCACAATGTGCGCGTTGAGCGCGTGCCCAGACTATACAAGCACTTCGCACACCTTCACCGCCAAAGGAGCCATCAAATGAACCTTGCACAACCGACAGCATCGTCCAACCCAACGGGCCAAAAGATCAATCAGAGTTCAGACCTGGATATGCAATGATATGCATGGACTGAAAGGACTGAAACTGCATACAGGCGCAATATTGCAGAGCGTAGCCATGCGTAGCCCTTCCAAATGAACGAAGTGAACCTCCGAGATCGAATCATCTTCAACTTCTTCAACCTTCATTTCATTTTATTTTAGTTGCAGTGAAGGTTTCTCACCCTACGGCGATTTGCCTCGGCAGAGGACAGGGCGGGAGTTTCTCTGCAGATGGTCAACAATGGTCAACACACGCATACATACATATAAGTTACATATACAGTAGATGTATAAATATATATATACATACACATGTGTTAATAATATACATATACATACACATACCCAAGATCGATCAAGATCTCTTTTGCTTCATTTCTTGGGTGATGATCTGGGAGCTTGACATGGTGGGAGGCTTCAACCATCCATGTGTGGCCTGCAGTACTTTTTGGTTGTGATTGTGGAGAGGCTTGAAATGAAACGTATTTACTCATGCATAGAAGCACACACACACACCTTTGCAATCCTTTGAAAACCTTTTCTGGCTTTGCCAGCAGGCGGTTGCAGAAAGCTGTCGGGCAGAAGGGCGGGAGCTGTGGGTCTCGTACTGCCCTCCAATCAGGCTCGACTTAATAAGTTGTGAACTGTGAAACTATCAACAAAACTTTGAAAACAGGAAGCACCTGCAACCGCTGAGCAACTCCTCTCTTGATGCAACCTTTGCAAAACCATGACCTGAGGCATCCTGAAGCTGAAGCGCCCGCTGACAAAAATCCTGAAGCAATTCCGCTTGTTGCAGGGTGCGCATCCTTGGAAATATTGGAAATCTTCAGGCTTCTTGCAAATCCTTGCAACAGTTAAACAACTGGATACATTTGGATACGTTTGGATACACGATGATAGAAACCAAACTGTGGTGGTTACTGAGTGTTCACAGGTCAGTACCATCTCCTCTTCCTTCACTTGCGCTGGTGCGGTTTAGCCTTTGCAGGGCCTGGGCAGGGGTAGGTTCCATACAGACCAAGCGGCACGTGTAAATCAAGATAGCAATCTTGACTTTTTAAGGATTTTCGCAGCAACTATTCCTAGTGAAAGAGAATGCACATACAATGGGCGCAGCGGGAACAGTTGTTTGTGACTGGGGAGCTTCATGGAATCACAGTAGAAGGACAACACAGACCCAGAAGAGGGAGACCAGGCATCCTGTGTGCATGAGTTGTTGGTTGGGAGGCTATGGCGGCCCAATTTCGATGTACTGCAGATCGAATCATAGAGGATCAATCAGGGCAGAAATTGTGCAAGTGCACCAGCCCACTATTGATAGCAAGCATCAGGATAATCGTCCAAATTACTTGGAAGCTAGTTCCGGAAAGCCGACTTGGCTTCAATGACACATTGTCAGATGATTGTGTGCTAAATGATGGAAATGCTGCAGTGCTTTTCTCGCAAACACCTGTTGCATCCTCATGCAGGTCCTCGGAACAGAGGGAGATGGCATTTCCACTACCATGCTGGACCTGTCAACTCGTGCAGTGCGCGCAGGGTTTGCTGGTCAAGGTTGTGGTGCCACAAGGTGCCAACTAATTTGGTCATGACCAACATGCAACATCACGCAACATCACGCAACATCAACATCGTGTAAATCTCAAAGGAACTCTTCAGATTTGCGCTTCTTCAAAATTGAACTTCCCTGGCGCCTGGGTGTTTTGAGTTGGGATGGGGAGTCCTGGCACTTTTTGTTTCAGGCTTGCCTAGGCCATAGTGACATAGTGTCAACGGAAGTGTTTAAGCGTTCTTTTGATACGATGGGCAACCCGTCAAGATTCTTGACTAGGCTCTGTAGCAAAGCAAGGGCAAACAGGTCATCCACGCTACATTCAATTTTGTCAACAAGCTTTTTGCATCTTTTTGCTGTGCATGAAACAATGAACATTGATCATTGATCTATGGCGTGGATGAGAGAGGTATTCTTGCCTATGTATGGCTTTGTGCAGTCACTCAATGTAGCAGTGCGGCGACTTGGAATTCCGGACTAAACAGATTCATCGACAGCAAACTACACGAATATCTTCAAGAAATTCAGCTCTATGTGAATTGTGTTAGAGGGATATTTTGTTGTGATCTTTCTTCTTTGTGCAAAAGGTTGCCTGCGGAATGCTGCTTCAGCGTCTCTTTGACTTATGTCCTCAAGCTCGCGGGGTATGCCTGAGCATGTTTTGCTTTTCCAAGCTGTTGTTTGTTGCAGACTTTTAAGTTTCCTGACTTGGTACGCTGAATTGACATTGTCCCATTCATATCTTGTGTTTGAGAGTTGAAAGCAGTAGCTTTGCTTGACAGGACCTCAGCCAAGCAGCCCGAGAAAATCTTGTCCTAAGCTGAGCAGCTGCTTTCAGATTTGCTGGATTTCTCGATCGCAAGCTTTGTATATGAACTTTGCACTCTGGAACTCTTATGGTCTCTAAAGTAGCAGAGTTCAATTCGATTCTGATTCTGATTCTGTTTCGATGGGCCGATGTTTCCTTATCTTGACATGTTCACCTGTGGCATGTGTCGTTGTCTCGCCTTGTACGTTTTTTCACCCTGTCTTCTTTTCGGCACCAGCCTGCTCGTTACACTATGGTTTCAAGTTCAAGGATCTTTCTCAAGTCAAGACAGGGTACTCTATCACTTGCATGTTCTGTGACAGACATGTTCCCGAAACGTCATTGAATTTTAGCTTGCCTTTCTGGGCTTTTGTGTCAGCAGTCATGCAGGGTCCTTCATCAACATTGACGGGTCAAGACTACCTTTTGTGTTTCTTGTGCGAAGTCACGCTCCTGAGCTCACATTCTGGATGGTCTCTCTTTCATTATGACACATGGTCGACACTGCGCCTTCGTGCAATCTACCTTTCGTCTTTGAAACGCATCGCGCTGCTTTTTTGGGCTACCGGTGACGCAGAATTGACATAACAGTTTGTAAAGTCCTGTTTGCGTACATTTTCATTGGGGTGCTTTTCAAATCCAACGAAAGAGGATCGGATCGATACTTCTTTGGTGCAATTTTGCTGCCTCACGGAATAGCTCTGAAATGAACAGTGACTGAATTGGCAATTCATTTTTGGCTTTAGAGGTCGGCTTAGCTTTGGAGGTCAACTGCAATGACATCAATTCTTCGCTCTGGCCGTGCGTTTTTGCAAGATGCATTCCATTCGGCAAAGAGGGTGAACACCTGCAGCCGGCTATTTTAGTCTTTCAAACGCTGCTGGGTGTATGTTTGCTGGAATTTACTTGATGATCTTTCACTTGCATCTGAGGCGCTATCTGCAAGGACATTGAGACACAAGAAGGACTCTTGTGCCTTCAAAGTTCCATTTCAACTCTTGGAGTGACTGGAAGAACAGAGTTCTATAGTACATATAGTACATACAGGCACACAATATTTGTGATGATGTATGTATACTTCAATACAGCATATCAGACCACATATTTACACTATATATTATTTACATAGTATAGGACATTTGCTTCAGACAGAAAGAACATGGAAGAACTTCGCAAACAAAATTAATGGCAAGATCCAGGGAGCGCCGAGCCGGGAGCTGCAAAAGGTGCCTTCCAGAAACCGAAAGAAGTTCTGAAATCCCCGTCCCGATCGTCCTGTGGCCCCGTCTTTTGAATTCAAATCATAAGCCCCGCGAATTCGGTGAATGATGTAGTTTCGTGTGGTTCCGTGTAGTCTTGTAGTTGGAGTCAAATCCTTGACCGTGTCAAATCAAAGCTAGTTTCACACCAAAGAGCTCAAGTTCTGCCCTGGAAGCCTAGTGACATCAGACAGGCTCTCGGGTGTCAAAATGGACCTAGCTCTGTAGGAAGCATTGTGCAAAGGTGGATTCGGCCACAAATCAACATCATCAACATCCTGTTTATTGTGCATATTGAAAGATATTGAAAGATTGGTTGAAAGGTTGAAAGGCCTTTCTTGCTTTGCCTCATCTTCTCGGGTTTGAGCTGACTAGAGAATGTGCGTGCTGTGCAAGGCTGTGCAATGTAAAGACAAGTCACTGCTGTGCTCTTCAAATTGACATGTCACCCATGCTTTTTTAGTTTGTGAAAATTTGTAAACATGTTACATAGCATGGCACTGCTTGCTAAAAGAAGAACTATTACTGTAATTATTACATATTATTACTACAGTCACGAGCAGATAGCTGGAGAAGATACAGCCAAAAGACAAAGTCGTGTCTTTTTTTTAAGACATGACTATATTTAGTTGCGGCGAAGCTTTCCCTGGAAGTCGTGCCTTTTTGCAAAACGCAGGGGAACTCTGGTGATCTCAGCGCGACCATGGTTTTCAGTGTTTTAGTGTTTTTCCCGAATGCGTAGCGAAGGGTTCGCGTTTATAGTCTGGGGGGCTGGGGGCTGGACCCTTGTTCGCCTCCAGTTGCTCGGAAAAGGGAAAAGAACACGCCTGCCCAGCGGGCAACTGGACACTCTATAGCAGCGAGCCGAGCCCATGCCATTTGAAGATTTTGCAGGATGTGGCCGATGTGGCTCATTCGGATGAGTTCGACGTCTCACTTGACTTTGGCCTTGGGCTGAGAAGAATTTGTGAATTTGCATTCCATTCTTTCTGACTTGCCGCCCTTGTTTTCTTGTTCCAGGCCTCACCGAGCAACAAGAAAGCGCAAAAAAGGGCTCGCAGGGCTTTGCCATGCTTCGCCCATACATGGCAGTTGAGTACTCGCCCAGGGTGCCCTTTCTTTGATTTTTGATACCAGGATTCAGAATCTTCTATAACCTATACTGACAATTACAAGCAAAACATGTCGCACTCACATCAGATCCCTGTACATGCAATTTGCCACATTATGATTCGAAGAGCTAGGGAGTGCTGAAATTTGTGGAAGTCTGTCTTCACTTACCATGGGAGGCCAGCATTCAGATTTCAGCCTTCGTACTAATTCGCTCGTGCCAAAGGAAACAAGGATTTGAAACACAAAAGCACGCCATGCCTGCTTTTGCTTAAGACTTAGATGACTTCTATAGATGTATGCGGTCCTTGATCTTGAGCTGTGGCATCATTTTGTATATAGTTTGCTGGTTTGGCTCTTGGAAACACTTTTCTCTTGATTTGGCTGTGCCACCACTCCTATACCCTACGCAAACCTTCGAATCATAGACTTTCTACTTGTATATGTGTGTGTACAAATATATATATATATATAATATTATATATATATACATACATGCATACATATATAAATGTATAGAACATATATACATACACATATGCATATATATATAAATAAGGGCAATGCATCAATGCACGTACTAACAACTGCACGTGTTGTATTTGGTGGGATGGCCTTGATCAACCCTGACAAGCGGTGGCCATTTGGGCTTGAGGAGCCTGGTGCATTTGGGGAGCGCAGTTAATTGACATCGGGGGAAAGTTTTACCTGGGAATATCTGGGAATGTAACGTGATTGCACCTTTGGGGCACATGGAAACGAATACCGCTCCAACGAGGGCTGGACGGATTTGCAGCGCCATTTGGAAAAACTGGCAACGAGCTTGGGCGGTTGGGTGGGTGTCAAACCAGAACGTGCGTAGTTATTGATATATATATATATATACATACACACATACACATGTATACATATAGATAGATACGTTGATATACGTGAACGTGAATGTGAACGTATTAACGTAGTGCAATTCAATCCAATGACACGTAACGTAGTGGTATGGTATGGTATGGTGTGGTGTGGCATGGTACGGTATGATATGGCATGGTATGGTATGCCATGCTATGGCATGGTGGCATGCTATGCTATGGCACGGCATGGTAGGGTATGATTTGTAAGTATATAACGTATGCAACGTGATGCGCAAGTTAAGGTAGGTAGCTTGACGTGACGCAATGGCATGTAAAGTTATATACAGTATGGTATGGTCTGGCACCGCATGTCATGGTGTGGTATGGTATAGTACGATGCGGCACAGTATGGTATGTATTTGTGCTTTGACTCCTTCTTGGTGTTACCTGGAAGAGCAAACTGTCAAGTGCCTGCACTGTCTCCTCGGAACGGCTTCAAGAGACACTTGTGGGATCAACAATCAGCCGTAGCTGTCCGTCTCAAAGGAAGGGTCTCACATAGCTGGCTGGTTTGATTTCTAGAATCAGATCAAAATCTGAAACTTGAGATAAAGTTGTACCTCACCACGAGCCGCTCGCAATTCCCATGTCTGACTGTCTTCGGATTTAAGCAGTGGGCTTCCTCTTTTGCAAACAAGTCACGGATTCTTTGCCATGGCCTCATGGGAATCCTTGAAGGCAAGGGCAAAGGCCTGGCATTTTGAGTCAGAGCAGAATTGTTCCAGCAACCTGTTACGGAAAGTGACGTAAAGTTATAAGTTGCAAAGAAGTGATAGGAGTGTCATTACAATGGCCTCTTGAAAGAATATGGAATGCGATATATGCGAGATTGAGGGTTTTACAATGTTTACACCCCGCCGCTCGAACGGATCTGCTGCTCTGGCCTTCGGAATCGTATGGAACATGTGGAACATTTTTTTGAAAGCGAATCAGTTTTTATCACGAAAACTAGCTGCCAGCTGAAGTCCCTCGTGCTTTAGCAAGGTATTGGGGGTGCTGGAATCTCCAATCGCGAGAAACTTCTCAAGTAACTACCCCCTCCTCTCCCCCCCGGCTGGTTCAAAAGTTCAAAAGTGCGTGGGCTCAATCTTCCCCGGGAACTTTGGAATGTCGGAGATGTGCGCTGAAGATAAGAAGTGGCCACAAATGAAGTCGGTGAAAGTAAAGAATTCTGTTTAGACATGTTCAGGACACGGTGGGGAGTGTTGCTGAATTGTGATCTTGCTGGAAACTTGCTGAATTCTGACTTTACAGTGTTGAAGCGAGAGACCTAGTTCGAATGACCAGTAGGTTTGACAACGAGACTTTCAACATGCATGCCCACATGCGGGCAATCGCAATGTTGGGTGAAGAAGGGTCCACGTGCTTCCTGCCAGGGCCTAAAGTCCGATCTGGACACAAAAATGCAGGACCGAGCCGAGCAAGCTGACCAAGCCGACCAAGCCGACCAAGCAATTGTGTTTTTTGTGTTTTGACTTCATCGAACCACTGCAGATACTGCAGTCTCCCGTGAGGGAGATGACGAAAAGGCGTCGAACAGTTTCATTCTGAACACTGCATCACGCAGCATTCAGAATGAAACTGTTTCCTCAAAAGGTTTCAATCGGCTGACTCCAAAATCTCCAAAGGACCTTGGGCGATTGAACAAACGATTGAGTTCAGCCACAGCTTCCACCCCTGCCGATCGCGTTGCCGAGCTGGACGGGTGGGCACCCAAAAGTAGAACTGAAGGGTAACGAAGCACACAAAAGCAAGACAAGCAAGACAAGCACTTGCTGAGAAAACTGGCAACATGATTTCTTCCTCAAACTGTGACGAATGCGACTTGCTGCATTCTACACTTCCCCCGGTTTTGCTCTTTCTACTTAGGCAGATCAAGCTGGTTGTCGGACTTAGAGAAGAGGCAAAGCTTGCAGAGGATGCCCGTGGCGTGCTTCTGTGGGTGGGCAAGCCAACATGGATGTTGCCATTGCAGGTGGAACGGGGGCTCAGCCAACTTGAGGACTGCAGAATACTGACACACTCATTCGAGTTGAAGCCATCCAGTTTTGGGAAATGAATGACTCAATAGAATGTTGTGAAGTTTGCAGTTTTGACCATGGTAGAACAGTGACAGACCGGTGACACGACTGACAGGAGTGTGACAGGACGTTCAAAGTGACTTTTCTGCCAGGAGGCCAGCGAAGCTCTTGCAAACGTGGCTGCAACAAGCGCCCAAGCTGCCCAAGCTGCTCAATTTCGAGAGACTCAGCAGGACTGAGTCATGAGTGTGAAACCTGCGCAGAATGAATCCGACTTGTACAGTGAGGCAGAATTAAGAATGATCATCTGAAAGCCGAGTTGAATCATTAAAAATTTTGGTTGATAGGCTAATATAGGAGTTATAGTACCAATTTATTGGGGATTATATTGAATGATAACCGATAACCAACTGTAGAATGAGATGGGATAGGGTGGATAGAGGTATTTTGAATGGCTCAGTTGAGGAGATGCTTCGAGACTTTAAACGAGTGGCGCAAAGCATCGACCACCAGTACCAGCATGCAAGGCCCTTCTGGCCCTTCTTTGTGCAGTCTGACCAGCCTCAACCTTGTTTGGAAAGCTTTTTGTCGTGAGGCTTCTTCCGCATTCCAAGCCACACAAGCCAGGGACACAGGAATGATGAGACTGAACATGGTTGAAGCCGTGAGAACGCTTTTTTAGGTTTGCTTTCTCACATGGTCTGATGACAGCGTAGTTTCCTTGTTGTTTGCCGAGGTCTGTTGTCTGGCTGGCATGTTCGTCATGCACACACACGCACACATAATATATATATATCAGCATTTGTCTCTGCGTGTATGTGCAAATTCACTTTTGCATAGCGCAATATGTAATACTATGCAATACACCAAATACACAGTACATTTTTACTCTGGTGCAATGAAAGCATGCGTGGCATTGGATTTTACGACACAATTTGTTTGCGTAGAACAATTTTTCCAGTCGTGCACGAAGTGGCACAATGCACAGGATCCAGAAGATGGTCTTCTAAGGGAACGTGACCTGGCGAGCAAAGGCCAAGAAAGGAGGGTCTGAGCTGCTCCTTTTCATATTCCATCATATTTCCATTGCTTTCTTTCTCTCACACTGCCTTGTTTTCACTTTTTTCGTCACATCGCCTTGTTTTTTCTTCGTCGTGCGGCAAGCTTTCTAGTTGGGTTTCAACTCAGGTATGGGCCTCAACTCATCCTTATCAATGGCAGATGAAATCATCGGCCAAGCCACCACCACCAGAGACATGTTGATGAACCAACGGAGCGTGCCTCTATTGCACTAGCTGTACTATGTACCACTCTGCCATCGCTGTTTGAATGGAATGTGACGTGGATCACGTCACTGGCGCCCATCATCAGCGTTTCTAGTATATGGGAACTGCAAGAAAGCAGCGGAGACTCAAACTTGATATCAATTACTGGACAAACCTTAGGTGCAGCCTGCCAGAGTAATTCCGCATTAGCTGAAAAAAACATGTAAACCAAATGCACTAAGAAACAACACATACAGGGAGCTCCAACACAAGCTCAAGGCAAAAAAAACATGACGCATAGATGTGACAAATGCACGAAACTTGCACGCAGGACATAGGTGCAACTGGGTTGCTTCTAGCATTTGCTACTAGTAGATCTAGTAGCTGGGAAATCGAAGCATGCTCGTGCCCTGCAAACTTCTGAACATGAATTGATGAGTGAAGGCAGAGAGTTGGGTAGTGCCCTCAACAGAAGTGCAAAATGAGGAGTAGGCCTTATGCGGTAGAATGGTTTGTTAGACAAGCTGGGGGGGCCATTTGGCAAGGTCACTCGTTAGGCCATTTTGGCCCTCTCAATGTCATCAGCGATCCAACCAGTTGTTGCTGTAGTGGTGGGGCGTCTCATCTTCAGAATGGGAGTAAGACCCTCCGAACCCAAAACTGCGGACATGACAGGAATGAACCTTTTTTTGTTTTTTTTTTGGATCATGGAGATATTAAGGTTTCGGCTCCGTCGGGGTGCCCCCCAGTAGGTTTCCCCCCCGGAGTTCTTAGCCATAGCGGGCCGGCTGCCCGCGGGAATCCCTCGACCTTGCGATCCCTGGCTTGCTGCTGATTTGCTTCATTGGCTCCCGTTGGGTACGTAAGGCAATTTACAGTGCATTTGGGCTCTCTGGTTCTGAAGTTTCCTTAAACTTTTTCTGGCCCATTTGCGCTCAATTCATATTTCAGGTGTGCAACTGAACTGGCATTACCCTGGTTGTCACACAGATTCCTTTTATGCAATTGATTTTCCTGCTGTTTGCGATTTTCATCGGTCACTGCAAATACAACGGCTTCTATTTGGACATTGAGGAGGAAAGCAAGGCGTTCCAGATCTCTTGCGCGCTACCTTTGGTGGCAAATTCATACAGGGAAAAGGAGTGGCAGTTTTTCAACTTTGCTGTGGATCAGACAAGTTTTGAATCGCCATCATTCCAAAGACCCTGCATTATTGAAGCGAGTAGATTTTTGGATCAACAAAGTAGCAATGTCGACTCAAAAGAATGCCGGTTGGTTATGCCAGTGGTGTCGTGTCATGAATGGAAAACATGCGAACCACTGCCATCATTGTGGTGGTCGTTGGGATGTAGTCGGAAATGCAGCAGAGACTTCCTACGATCAATGGGAAGGCTGGGAACAAAGGGGCTATTCAAACTCCAACCAGAGAGGACAGTGGCCCAAATCTCCCAGGAAATATGGGAAGAACAAAGGGAAAGGCAAAGGGAAGAGTCCCAGACGCCACAAGAATGCAGACAAGAAGCAGGACACGCCACGTCAGAATGCTTCAGAGCCAGCGCAGGGCATGGGACCGCCATCCACCATGCCCATGAATGCTGGCACCACCTGGATGCAAGCAGCGCATCAGATTACACCGGCAGTTCAGCCGCCTGCTGCTACCCCAGCAGCAACAACCGCCGCTCCGGCCCTGCCACCAGAATACAAACCTCTGATAGAATCCTTGAAGAGAAACCAGAGCAAGGGTACCTTACCGGAGGATGTACAGCAGGAGATGAAGACTTTGAAAGTCAAAGAGGAGAAAGAGCAGACCAAAGAGATGTTCCAGGCGGTCAAGAGCCTCAGCAAAGCCAGAAGAGAGCTCAGAGAAGCCCACGATGGAAGGGCGCAATTGCATGCGCAATGGCGAGCCTTTCTGGCCTTGAGTGTCACGCAGTGGCAGGAATTCACCCATCAATTCCAAACTCAAGAAGCAACAGCTATGAGGGTCATTGGGGAAGCACATGCAGCCTTGGAAGAGGCGAAGTCCCAATTCGAGGACAGCAAAGTCACAGCTGTATCTGCAGAAGCTGGTGCAGATGTGGAAGTGATTTCGGAGGAGGACCAAGGAAATGCGGAGACCAACGCTATGAAGCTCCAGGATGGGCTGCGCAATCTCACCACTTCCTTGCAGGCCTTGTCCACCGAAGCAGAACGGATTCATGCAGAAGAACAGGTCAACAAGAAAGCTCGGCTGGAAGGACCTGGAGATGCTGCAACAGTTCCAGGGGCTCATCAACTCGAGCCTTTTGCGTTGCCCGGCACCAAGCGACCTTCGAGTGCGGGTGCCTAGGGCGTTTGTCCCTAGCCGGAGCTGCCAGAGTTTTTGTGATGAAATGGAATCACACCATTCTGGAAGAGCCATCATTCCTTTGTGAATGGCAAGCAAGGTCAGATGCACTTCTGCTGTCCTTTCAATGTGGTACCATCTTGGGGAACACACAAACCTCTGGTCACAGGCGGCTACAATCACTTCGAAAATTGAATCGACATGTGTCCTTTTCGGATGATGTTACAGTGATGTGCGTGTCTCCATCAGCCTTTGCATGTGGGATTTTGCATTGCACGCATGGACATGTACAATCTTCTATTGACCACCTTACTAAGCGCATAGCTACAGAGAGTGCTCCGCTGTCTTTTCTTTCTAAGAAAACGGCCGTGTTGAGCTCCTGCAGCGATGAAACCTCCCTGATGCAGAATCAGATCATGTATCAACCTCAAAGCCACAATGCTTTCGAGGGCCCTGCATGGTATCCCTTCCATGCTGACCCAGCCAATCAAGAAGAACCCTCTGGAGATGAGCATGAAGATTCGTCTGATGAGGAATCTTCCAGAGGCAGCGGTCATGATGACGATGATCCTGATTCAGATCGAGCACCACACCCTCCAGATGAAAATAGTGACCGACAATCTGCAGTGATGTTCCATATGGGTGACGATCCCATTCATGCAATGCTGTATTGGGTTGATTTTGGCACTATGATGACAGAAATTGCTTATCATTATGGGGTAGGACGTGAAGAGGTTTTGGCATGCCATGAGGTCGTTGTGCACCCTCTTGATATTCCAACTGGCTGTTCACCCCTGATTGTGCAAATGGTTTACGACATCCCAGTGGGCGACACCTCAGCTCTCATTTTGCTGGACATTGAAACTCATGGGCAGCATATGGAAAATCATTACCAAACGGGACCAAGAGCTGTGAGACAAGTTATTGCAGTCCCAGCACGACTCACAAGACATGCATTGCTGATGCGGGCACGTGTCTTTGAGTACTGCCGCTTGGAGCACTACAGGTGTTTGGTCGAACATAACCATTTGCCTTGGCACATGCAATCCACTCTGCCCAGGGAAGTCAAACATGGAGATTACCTGAAGATCAGAATTCCTCCACCACGTTTGAACTCAGCTTGCGCTGATGATGCATTGGAAGACAGCCGACGACTTGATGTTGCTGATTTTTGGAGCCAGTATTATGTGCCCTCTAGCTCTTCGTCCGAATCAGTAGGGTATGCTTCAAATGTTTCCCCTAGCTTGATTGACTCTGATGACATTCGAGCTGAATTTGGGTTACCAGACGATGCTGAGGAATCCGTTTCATTGATGCAACGTTCAGCGTCTGCAGCTGCATCATCCAGTCAAGCACCAACACCCAGCGCCTATCAACAGTCGCTGGCTGCAAACAACACCTGTGTTTTGGAATTTGACCCTTTTAACACGCTGGTCAGGCCTTTGTGGTACCATGCGCTTGTCACCACCATGTTTGATTTCGGGGCAATTGAAGATGCCAATGAGGGCCCAGTAGTTTATATCAGCACATGGTTTGTCAAATGCGATGAAGAAAGCACAAATGAAGATACACGCATTGCCAGGCTTGACACCATGGCCAATTTGTGGGCCAATGACATCCAACAACTTTGGCAAGACAAAATAATTGCTGGGCTTCCATTTTATTTCACATGGGTGCGTCCCACACCTGTCACATCACCACTTCTCCGTACGTCAGGACATCTGATTGTTTATCAGTTTCCTCGGCCTGAAATTGTGCCTGCTTTGATCAGCATCCATTTCCAGGCTCTGCACCATGACGGAGCATCACTTGCTGTTATTGCCATCCGTACTGATGCCACGCCTGAACATGTTGTTGGATTGGTGAATTTGGAACGAGTTTGCCGAGGCAGGAAGTGTACGTTCCATCGAGGAGCAATTGGCTTCACATTGAACGATCCTATCCAAATCGGGGAAGGATTGAAGCTTGGGATACCACCGCCAGGTGGACGAGCTGATGTAGACATCGTTTTACGGTCTGCTGCTGTTGCACTCCTGAACACAGGTGAACCGCTCATTGTCGATCCTGGTATTTCATTTCTGATTGAAGACCAAATCCCTTTTGTGCAAGAATTGCATGCCAGATGGTTACAGGAAGCACGAAGAGCTCCTGATTCGCATGAGAGGTCTCTGGTAGTTCACACCTGGTATGTTGATGGAGAATTTGTCCCACTCAACGATCAATGTCGACCAGTTTTGCTTGATGATGACTTTTTCAACTGGCCCGACGAGCTTCGGCGAGTTTGGCATGACCTTGAAGATGCTAGCAATCCAGTAGATTTTGCCATTGTGACGCCCACACCTGCGTGCAGGCCGCTGGAGCAACTCCATGTTTTGCTCTATCAACAAGTTCCCAGTGATAAAGCTGCTTTTCTGGTGACGATTTTTGACAATGCGCTCACACATGGAACTCCTTATACTACTGCGACAGTAGCTAGCCGACAGGCAAGCCAACCGGAAATCATTGATGCAGTTGGACGCAGGCAAAGTGTAGCACTTCCAGGGGTGCACTGTGGTGTGTGGTACAATAGCCTTGAGATTATTGGGGACCGTGTCCTTGACATTCTTCCAGGTTTCAATGTCAATTTGATCATTCACAGGACAACTCTCCACAGCTGGGAAGAGGCAGACCAGGCGGATGATGAACA